CAGGTAAAACTTCTATCAGAATCTGAGCTGTTGAGTGCCAAAAACCCAAGCCTCCTAACACCATCTCTCAGGCCTGAATTTTAGAAAGGCACTTCTGCTTTATATACATCTGTATATACATCTATATACACATCTGGCTCAACACAGATCTCCAACCCTGTTATTTCCCTTCAGCTACACCTGTACCTTGACTCTAGAAGTCAAGAAATCAGTTGCATGTAGCTGTGGAAGTATTTAGGCCACAGCATTTTTGCTCTTTCAGTAACAGCTGAGACAAGTAACACATTAAAATTAATGTGGACAATATAAACTTCTGCTTCACAGAAGTCTTCAAAATTACCACTGCATGGGTATCCAGAGGAAAATATCAAATAAAGTATCATCTTCATATCACTTTTAAATCATCTATTTTATTAAAAATTTGGAACAACCATTACTTCTTTCTGGCAGACAGTGGTCCACACAAGACTGCAAATCTCTGAAGTTGTTGCCATTTCCATAACAGCCACCGTAGATGAATTCCTCACACCTCATTGAGCTCAAGTTAAAGGCATATCTTCTTAGATAACTCCTGCAAGGTCCTCCATCAGCCTCCAACCGGCATAATTTGGGCACTTCTGCAATAGAAATAATTTCATCCTCTGTAAAATCATTCTTCACAGAGAGAACAACATGGTAGTGTAGGCAAAGCATTATTACTTCAGCTGTAAGCAAGTCCCAGCTTGTCCCACCTGCATTCTTTAATAAAGTGGGATAAGATTTACAGGAGGAATCTGATGCATTGATTAGCCAGTAGGTGCAATATTAAATTCCGGCAATAGATAAATTCCACATGTCATCTCTGAGACAACTCATTCTGGTTTCTCTGCCTAAAATTGACATCAGCAAGAAGCAGCAACAAGCAGGAGGGACATCACTTGGACTCGATGATCTTAAAGGTCTTTTCTAACATTAACAATTCGATGACTCTATGACACACCGGGTGGGTTCAAAGCATCCCGCAAGCTGCGCAGCCTCCCCGGTGTCCCCGCAGATCCCCTCCAGCCCCCTGCCACCCCGGGGCGCTCTGGGGCGCTGCCGGTCCCTGGACTCACTCTTGATGGTCCAGCAGTTTTTCTCGCAGTCGTCGAAGGTGAGGAAGTTGTTGGCGTTGCCGTAGCAGCCCCCGTAGGTGAACTCCTGGCAGCTCTGCGTGTGCCGGTCGTAGTACCAGCGCGGCACCAGGGCGCGGCAGGGGCCGTCGTCGGGGGGCAGCAGGCAGGCGCGCTGCTTCTCTGCGGGAGATACCAGCGGCTCAGGCCACCGCCGGCACAGCGGCCCCAGCCCCGCGCAGCCCCCACGTGTCCCCGCGGGGTCCCGCGAGCGCCCTCCTACCTGTGAGGGAGCGCTGCGCCAGGGCGGCGCAGGCCAGCGGCAGCAGCAGCGCGGCAGCGGCAGGCGCGGCCCGTGTCCATGTCCGCGATGGGCGGGCGGCAGCAGGGCCTGAGAGCGAGCGGCTCCGGACGGCCCGACGGCAGCGCTTTATATGCAGCGAGGCGGCTGCCCCGGGCCACCTCCTCCTTGCGCAATTGGTGGGAGGGGAAGGTCTGATTCAGCGGGCAGGAGGTCCCCGCTGACCCGCCGCCACCTGGGCGCGGCAGCTGCGCGCCTGCGTGTGCCCGGGGGCGCGGGCAGCCCCCCTGCCCCGCCGCCGTCGGGGAGCAGCGAGATCAGGCGGGGGGCACCGGGGGCTGGCTCCACGCCGGGCTGCACCGCCATGGCGGAGGAGCTCCCGCTGCGTGGCTACGGGGAGCTGGCTGGGGTCCCCGGCGGTCCCGTCCCCCGCCCTCCTCACATTACGGGATGATGCTCAAAGAGCATTTCCTGTTAATCACGGTGAAATGCGTGACGGGTCACTTAGCGAAAGCCTTCTCTACCCGCCCCGTCGCCGTCGCCCCCCTGAGGCCGCTCTCTATTCGGAGGCTCCGGGTAGAGGGCGGTGGGACGCCGAAAATCAAAGGCTCAGCCTGCTGCCGGTCCTGATACAGCTGGATCAAGTACAGGCTGCCTAGCGAGTGCCACTGAAGCAAACGCGCGTAATTAGTTTAATACTGTCGTGTAAAACGCTGATGAATTTGAGAAAACCGAAGCATCGTCAAAGGGCTTGGATTCTGGGAAAACCCACGGAGATGAATCGATGACACCTCTGGCCAGTGCGAAGAGAGATGGATTTCAGGAAATATCATGACTTGGTTTATTCTGCAGATTTTAATCCCACTAGGTAATGGGTTGTGATCAGGGGAAGAAAGGGATGAGCAGCGAACAGCATACTTTTCCCTCTCTAATCTATTAGAGACATTACATTAATTAGTGTTTACTCCAGATAGAATTCAGTAAGAGAGATAAGAGTGGCTGCAAATTAGGCGTGCTCTCCATAGATAACAACAAGATAATCTGATCTCCTATTGTTCTTCTCTGCTCCCTTTACAACAATGGCGTTGGCCAAAGCCCTGCAGGCCGGCGCTGCTGCCGATGGGGTTGAGATACAGGGCCCTGGAAATCTGTGGCCTGCAGGAAAGCAGCAGAGTCCGTAGGGGCTGTAAGGAGGGGGAACTTAATAGCACCCTGATTATTTCAGGAGCTGACTTTCTCTCCATGATTTCTCTGCTTTTCTTATATCATGAAGGATTACAACCTAGTTTTCTGACATAATTTTAATTTTCTTAAAGGCAAGAAAGGAGTAAATTTAATCCCTGCCCCACCTACATGTCTTCTGAAAGGATATGAATGGCACCTCTTCCTCTCCTTTTTTAGCACTGTTCCTTTTTTTTTTAGAATCTCCAGTTGCCAAAGGATAAGTGGGTGCTTTAGTGACAAGAAAATAAACCCTGGTACAGTTTGAGTCATCACTGTGGGACACATCTGCCATCCTTTAGTATTTTATAGCTACAACTGTTACTAACAGGTGTCCTAATTTTTAGGGAATTTGTTCATCTTATTAGGCAGAGCAATTATATTAAAGTTTATGTCCCTCTGGCAGGAAAGAACAAACAAATAAAAAAAATGTACATTTTCTATTTCCAGAAGAAAGCAAAAAGTCATCCTTCTAATACTGGAAACTCTCAAGTGATTTTAATATGATGGTCTTTAATATGATGTCCTAGACTGATGTGCTTTGGTTTTCATCATAATTTTTTGAGTTGCAAACAAAGTAATTGAAATACCACTTAAAATAATAGCAGCAAAGTGAATGCTATAATGCAAACACCATTTTCCATATTTTTCATTTCCTCTGTGCGCACACACATACCAGTCAAAGTGTGAGCTAAAGCCACCTATCCATCAATGCTGCTTTTTACCTTCTCCTTTGCTATAACTCAGATTAGGTAAATATCTGTAAAAATACATGAAATACAGTAAAAGTTAACACAGCAAGTGGTAGAAAGTCCATTACTGACTACTGACTCCATCAACAGAGCTAGTCATGTCAGCAAACAGCTCTCTGGAGGCTTTCCATTACAGAGCTATGGATACCAAGTTCTTCCCACCCTAACTAGGTCAATGGTGTACCAGAACCCACCTTCAGCTCACTCCCGCACCTTTGCCCACCACCACCACATCACATGCTCTCTGCCTCTCCACACCACAGTGCTTCTGATCCTGCAACAGCCCTGGCCTCTCTAAGACTCTGGCTGGCCAGTTCCTTCCTTCTGTTTTGACTGGCCCAGGACCAGCAGCTGGTGGAGTTTGGAGATGCAGCTGTCAGTGTAGATTATGTGGGTGTAGAAGTTGCATATCAACAGCTGGGAATGGGGAGATAATAGACAGAGGGAGAAAAACTGATTTTAGTGAACTGGCTAAAATAAAAGGAATACGGACCCCAAGAGCACTATAGGAAGAGCACTGGAGAAGAAAGATGTAAATCTTACATACTGCAGACAGCTGCTTACATCTGGTGAGTGGGGAGAGGAGGAGAAATGAGTGTATTTAATAGGAAAAAAACAGTTGGAAAGAGAGAAGGGTGATTGCCTATATGGACCTTTGAATTGCTAGATAACAGAAGGCCTACAAGCCCATTTTAATGGCCTGCAGCTATGTTCTGTCCGAAGGGTCCTGAGTTCTGCCTCCAGTGGTATTGTAGGAAAGCAGCTGCTAGGATGAGAGATGCTAGGGGCTGTACAAATAGGCAGGGAGGGACCGCCCTGTCCTAAAGAGCATAGTGCCCTATTTGGTATCTAGACCTCAAAGCTGTATGCAACCACAGGTGAAGAGTTTCCTAGCTCCTTCTTGTGTCTTCTGAAACCCTCACTTCTCTTATGTGGAGTACTCCACTCTCAGCACTTCTCCTACCTCCATGATTCCAGAGACCCTTGATGCAAGCCAGGCACAATAACTGTCTCATGCAGAGCTGCAATTCTGCTTTGCAGACACATCTACCAACAAAAGTTGCTGTGTCTGGCATTGATGGGCTGGCTGCCTGCTGGGGCAGTTAACATCAGAGTTGGTTCCTTCCCCTCTCTACCTTTTCAGTCCAGTCCCTTCGTGATGGTAATGCACAAGTATCAAGGAATGTGCCCATGCAAACCGCCTGCTTCTATCCTAGCTGCTGGGCAGAGTAACACAGAGCCAAAGGATGCTGGTGGCATGGAGAAGCATGAGACATTGCGATGGTCAGAAAGTGGAAGAGGAGAAGGAGGTGTCAGGGAGAAAGATTTCACAGCTGGGCCAAACCCCCCAGCCGACCTCGCTGCGTTTTCTCCGCAGCAGTGGTGAAGAGGGAGAGGCCGGAGAGATCAGCACATCAGGGTCCTCCAGCTCCCAGCTCCTGCCGCCGGTGCGGCGGCGGGACCGAACGCACTGCCCGGGGGCCGCTCCGGGACGGCCGGACCTCCCTGTGCAGGCAGGGCCCATGTCAACGCCCCGGCAGCGGAGTCGGCCCGGACGGCGGGCTCTAATCCGGTTAGGGGGGATTAGCGTGGAGGTTTAAAGGCCGGAGCGGCACGGAGAAGGGGTGCGGGCGCGCCGGAGAGGAAGCGGTCGCCGCCGACCAGCGGGGCAACTCGGACGGCAGCGTGTGAGGAGCCGGGGGCGGGCGGGGGCGGGCCGTCCCCACCGCTCCGCCACCGCCCGGGGGCTCGAGCCCCGGCGCCCTCGGCTGCCCAGACGTAACCTTTTGTTGTCCCTCTCTCCCTCCCTGCGCGCTTTGACAGTGTAGACGATGCCAGCCATCAACATCGAGGACCTGAGCGAGAAGGACAAACTGAAAATGGAAGTGGAGCAGCTCCGGAAAGAAGTGAAGCTGGAGAGGCAGCCGGTGAGCGGGCGCGGAGAAAGGACTCGAAGCTGCCCTGCCGCCGCCGGGCGACGCCAGGCGCGGCGGCTGGGGCGGGGAGCAGCCCGTTCGTGCCCGGACGCGAGATGCCGGCGGCTCATGAGGCGGCCAGGGGCACGCTGGAGGGCGGCGGTCGGCCGGGGGCGGCGAGGCTGTGAGAGCCGCTCCTCCGGAGAGCCCTGGATGTTTTGGGACGGCTGCGGTTTGCACCGACGGCTCCTGCCACCCGCTTTGGGTCAGGGGTCGGGGACAGCGTTGTCGGCACGGCACCGCTAACACCGCGTAGGTCCTTCCCAGGGGTGACTGTGGAGCGGGGGGAAAGGAGCGCACCACCGCGGGAGAAGGCGCCGCGAGGGGCTGGCATGGGCGCGCCGGCCGCGGCTGTTCCGGTGCATTTGCACCCTTGGCTTCGCTCCCGCCAGAGCCTGGAGCTCAAGGCCGGCACCAAGGCAGCCCTGCCAGGCGAGGGAGGAGCACGTCGCGCTGTGTTCCTCTCCTCTGTAGACAGAACGCGCTGGGACCTGTCGGTGCCAGGAGATGGGTGCTGGGCGGCGGGAAGCCGCGGCCGCGGCACCGCTCTCTGCCCCGGCTTCCTCTTCCTGCGCTATGCAGTTCCCGGGCGAGGGCAGGAGCCAAAAGGCTGCCGGTGGTGGAGCCGTGACCCGCCGCTTTGTCATAGAAAAAGTGCTTTTAGACATATTCTTGATTGTTCCTGTTCACAGGTGAAGTACTTTCAGTAAAATGTTTTGTGGTTTTTTCTACATTTTCTATAAATGAAAGACGTGTAGAACTGATCTTGCTGTGAAGCTAATATTCTTTTTTTTTCTTATTCTGCATGCCAGCAGAAGCAAACTACACCTAAATAAACACTTCTAGTTAGGACTAAAAATACATTTATATGTGGGAATCAGTGGCATTAGTCACACTAGTTACTAATCACCTGTCTAGGTGTTTAGCCCAGAAAATAAGAACGCCAGAGTTACATTTTAGCTGTGAGTCAGGTATCGGTGATTGTAGGTGTTATGGTATAGTCTAAAGCTCCAGGAGTGTTGAGGACTTGATATCGAACTACTATAGATAGCAATATCATCCCTCAGAGAGTTCCCAAGCAACTGAAATTTACTGTGCAGGAGCTAAAGGTTTCATATTATTATTATTATTTATTATTATTATTAATATTTATTATTATTAATAATAATAATACTTGTCTACATTTTCAAAGTAAACCAAAAGCCTGATCACTTTAGGGAAACAGATATTTTAGATTCACCCGAGGTAAAGCACAGACAGCATGCTCAGTTTTACCAGTGCATTGTAACAGAAGTTTCACTGTGAGAATGAAATCTGTGTTATAGTCACCACAGTCCCCTGGTACGTGTATGGTTGGTACAGGGACAGGGAAATGCAGAAGCCACACTTCTGTTGTTATCAAAAGTAAAAACTTTAGCCAAAGTTTTCTTGACTCCTTCCTATACCTTTACAGCACAAAAAGGAAGTGTCCTTTTGAATAATTTTTTGAATGAATAAAAATGTTTGAACGTGTATTTAAGCAGGCTTTTTTTTCTTATAAATGAGAATGATCCTGGTAATGCTGACTGAAGTAAAACAAACCTTGGTCCTGCATAGACTTTGGAGCACAACTTTACTACAGGATAAGGTGCCCCAATTTGAATGAACAGGGTTTGCAAGGTAGAGAAGAGTAAGACATACAATGGGATTTGTAGGTCCAAAGGCAGCTAGATTTTATTTTATACACTGTTTAACTGGGAATTAAGTCTATTCTTTCTAATGGCTTAAAACTTAATTTTGCACAGGTCGTGCTCTGTTGTCTGTGATAGAGCAAGCAAATTCATTGGTTCTCTTGTTATAGTTCTACCTATGAAGTAAAATGTAATTAACAAAGAAGGCAAAAGGCCTTAAATTAGAAATACTAATCATCTAGTGGCCTGGCCAACAGCTGGTTCCTGCTGCTGACGCTGCACAGCTGTGCCACTGCAGGGACTGTGGGTAGGAAGGGAGGAGGTGGGGACAGAGCAAGAGTGTGTCCTCAGGCATGTCAGGTATTCGAGCATCTAAGGACAGTTTCTGCTGACACAGGGAAAGGAAGCAAGAGGAGTTTGTGGATAAGGAACCTCTGGAGCTCGTGAGATTCGCTTGTGCACTCTCATGCTCCCCAGAGACTGTCACTGCATGTTCTCTTGTCTCAGTGAACAAAAACTGAACACGTTTCTTCTCCACAGGCAGGTTCTGTGCAGGCTTACCTACATCAGTGCTAGTTTGCTATGAATGCCATGCATAGTGTTATGTGTATTATGTTCTCTTATAACAAAATAGACTATTCTATTAACTATTGTTCAAAATAACCCCGGGTAACCTGTAAGTATATTGTCTTTCCCAGTCAGGTCTTTACTGTCACTCGAGATGCGTCGTTGCTCTAGCAGAACCACAAAGTAAGAATTTGTATTACCACTGAAAAATCACTGCTGAATGTTTTGTTTGGGAAAAACACGTAAAGACATGAATACTTTAAAGCTGAATTGAAAGTTACTGACCCTGAAACCATTGACCGTAAGTTATGCCAATGCTTAGGAAGAGTGTGATCTGCAGCTTAATAAAACTACTTTGGATAACTAAGTTTATGTAAACTTAAATGCAAGTTTAAGTACACAGCAGCTGCTGTTACAAGTGGCATATACATTCCCAGAGATACTCACATGTTCTGTGAATATCAGGCTATGAAAAAAGAGGAAAGAAGCTGAGTCTGCATCTGCTTAGTGCTTGCTAAAAAGCACTGTGGTCACTGTGGTCAGATGTTTTATGCTTGGCGGGAAGGTAAATGAGAAAGGTGTGAATTCACGGGTTTCCTCCTCTGATGTTCATTAGCTCCGGTCATAACGCAGCTTCTTCTCTGTCCTTTCCCTCGAGGTGTCCAAGTGCTCCGAAGAGATCAAGAACTACATCGAGGAGCGGTCGGGCGAAGACCCGCTGGTGAAGGGGGTTCCCGAGGACAAGAATCCCTTCAAGGAGAAGGGAGGCTGTGTCATCGCCTAGAAGAACGGCCCCTGCGCCTGCCCCCGGAGCAGACATTGCTCCTATACCCCTACGGAGTCACTAGCGTGTCCCTACCACCACCGGTCCGTGTTGAACGAGCACAGGAGCGGATTTCTTGTTATTTTCTATTTCTCCTTACAAAAATACAGAAACCCACCCGAAAGCTGCCGAGACCCGCACAGGCCGCTCAGCAGGGCCGGCTGTGCCCTGCTCCCCGGCGGGGCCGGCTCCTGTCGCTGCGCGGGGCCCTTTCGCCACCCGCTTGTCGGTCGCTTCATGGCTGTTCGTTGGCATTAAAGAAAACCTGCCCGTAACCCGAGAGCTACCGTGGCTTGCTGCGGGGAAGAGAGGAGCGGGAGGAGGGAGGGGACGGGACGGCGCGGGGCGGGGCAGGGGCTGCCGGGGTGACCCGGGCCAGCTGGTCGGCACGGCGGCTGCTCTCGCCCTTGGCTCTTGGAGCGGGACAGGCTTTGGCGGCCCTCGGCCTTGCCTTTGGAGCGGGACCGGGCGCGGCGGCCATGGCGCTGCGGGGCGGCGGGCGCTGGGCGCGCTTGGGCTCGGCCCTGCGCGCCGCAGCTCGGGCCAAGGGACGGCAGTGACACCCCGCAGCACCGCGACCTGCGGGCGGCCTCAGAAAGGTACGGGGGGGACATTCGGGTAGCGGCGGGCCCGGGGGACACCCGTCCGTGCCACCCTGCGCGGGGAGAGAGAGCCAGGGCAAGGGCAGTGAGTGGCCCAGGACGGCCCGGGGTGTGCTTAGATAAGTAACTTGTCGCTGCCAGTGCCAGAAACGGAGCAGCGTGTCCCCTGGTCCCCTGCCTGTGACCCGCAGGGTGGCACAGCCCTTCCCGGCGTGTGCTGCCCCGGTCCAGCGGGGCGAGCCGTGCCGGCCGGCCCCGGATGCCGCCGGTCACTGAGCCAGCTCTAGACGGGAGTGATGGAAGGCTCCTGCGAAACTAGATCATAAGTCCAGAAGAAGGGAGGCACTTCTGGTAAGGTAATGTGCAAATCGAGTGTCAAATGGCAATCCGCAACTAACGGTAGTGCTGGTGAACTCTGTGCATTCCCATCAGCGAGGTCAGTGTCACCTGTAGAACACCGTGGTAGGATTAAGAGCACCTGCCAAAGCCAGAGAATCAGCCGCTGTGGCGGCAGGGAGCCCTGGTGTGGTGCACGCTGCGATGCCGGGGCAGCAGTTTGTCAGAGACATCCACCTTTGAACTATGAACCAGTGAGAAAAGTGCAGAAGTTCAGTAACTGCTGCAATGAGTAAACAGCATTTTTGTGGCAACCACATAGGACCAAACAGTATGTGAGTTCAGAGGAAGGCGTTAGGAGTGTAAGGACTTGTCCCAGACTTGCAACCCTAACCCTTACCTGTAGGTAAGCTTGCAAGTTCTATCTGGTAGTGCAGTGCTCTGCTGTAGTTTTTTTTAAGAACAGTATGCTCTGAATTGCCAGATATTGACTCTTTTTTATGTGGGTTTGGAGCTGTGCTGTTCTGTCTTTAATAGATGCTTTTAAAAATTACTTGAAGAATCTTATATTTCTATGGATAAATTTAACTTTTTCCCAATTTCACCTCTTCCCCAGTTCACTGTGGACAAAAGATAGTGGAGTTACCTCTAAGTCACGTGATGTTTACCTCAGGTTTGTGTTGCTTCAGGCATTAACTTTCACACTTCCAGTGTTAAAATATCCCAAAAGCAATTTAAATAATTGTGTTTTCTGTCACTGAGGCCTGTTTTCACTGACCTTTAGGACCTATGAGTTCATTTTCTGTGTTAAAAAAAAAGACGAAAGAAACCTGAGGAATAAGAGAAAGGGATCCATGACCAGTCAGTTTCTTAGTAAGTTAGTTTCATTAGTCTAAATTCCTGGGCCCTTTGCAAAGCAGAAATAAGATGCCAGAGAAAGAATCACTAGAAGAAGCTGGAAATGAATCCTCCTCTCTCACCTGGATTGAGAACGCAGGATTTTGTAGCTAATATCATCGTGTCAAATTTCTACTGATCCCATCTGGAAGGAGCCTTCATGTATCTGTGTATCTGCATATCTCTGCAGAGCTTTTTGCCCAATGACCTTGTTCCATGCACACCGCTCCCTATCACCTGCCCGGGCACTACAAGTGCATTGATGAAAAGTCAGTGTCCTGAAACACAGAGGACAAAGCCAGACATTGTGAAGACAATGATTGGGAAGATTTTAAAAGTCCTGATCTTTGTCATGGATAGGTTAAGGCACACATTATATTGTATTTCAGGTGTTCACAGCTGTTTGTTTACTCAGAGATGAGATGAAGTGCAGGGGGAAGTAGCTCTACAGTGTCTGCTGGTGCAGTGTTTGCTGTTCTGCTGTGGGACACAATGTGGGTTTTTTTATAAAAACTTTCCCCTCCCTTGTCCCCACACCTGTTGAAGTGCTGCTAACAACATGCTCTACCTTGCTGGGTTCAGTGCCTGTAATTGCATCATGGGCTAAGAAGGAACGTAGTGGTATATGTATTGCATAAAACTTTGTGATGAATATATTGTAGAAGAAATCACAGCAGGCAACATAAACCTGATTTTTTTTCATTGTCCTCTATTTTTAAAAATATTTATGTAGCATTTATTTTAGATTTGATCTGATCATATAGGAAAAAAAGAAAAATCACTAGTTCATGTCAAATCCAGTCTGATGTTGTTCACCTAAAGCTTCTAGCAATCAGTATTTGTTCTGGTTTAAGTTAAACCTGTCCCTGATGACTTCAGGATAAACTAAAAAGTAAAGTCTTTGGGATACAAAGACCACTCAGGATCTGCACCACATTTTAAATATACCTGTTATGCAATCTGGGGCAGTTTTCCACTAGCTAAATCCTAATGCCACTATCAGAGAAATCTGAGAAATTAGCAATGCAATTCCACGAGTGAGAATTGTTATTTTTTTTGTCTCCATTTATTTTGTTTTTTAGTATATTAAGTTAACGTATTTTAAATTATCTATAATTTTCCAATTGTTCTGAGCAGGATGAGGAAGAGACTCTTATAATTCCAGGGGGCTGTTTTTAGCAAGGGTATTGAAATGACCCTGTGAGTGGTTTCCTTTACAACTTTATAGGTCACCACCCTTCCTCTTGGAAATCGAAAATGTGACTTTTCCTTAACTTGTTGGACAATGCTTGCAGTGTTCTGGTATCCCACGACTTGTTGCAATAATTAAATTACAGTATAACTGGTTTGAAGGAAAAAGGTTTAACCTACTCTGGATATGTATGCGTAACAATATTCCTATACATACAGGATGTATACACGCTATCCATTTTTCTTTTTCTCTGGCATTAGTGATATTGAGAAATTGGTAAATTTGATACATATTTTTCTGGAGTGCCATGTAATATGAATGACATTTCATTTTATGCCTAGTGGTGACTGGTTCTAGTTACACTGTGTAGTGTGTCTGTAGGATGAGGATTTCCCCCTTGACAATGAAACTCCACCGAAGGACATCTATACCTTATTTGCAGTCTTGGCTTTTATGTCATGAGTTTCTGTTTATTCATATATGTATTTTTACAAGAATTAATGTCCTTTCATATTAGTGCATGAATGATCCAAATTAAATATTAACATTTACTTTAGCTTTCTGGTAAAATTACTGTAAATTCTCTGTCAAAATAATATGGCTGTTTTTGGCCACCTGCAAAATACTGAACGGTGACCACTATTACCACTGGAGCACCTTGGATGGAGTTGGTTTATTTATCTTTGTAACAAATCATAAACCCCTGTCACAGAACAGCAAAGTAATAAGTTGCTGGTATTACAAATAAATCAGTTAAAAGTTAGTGTCTCACTGAGTTGGGGGGGAGAAAATAGACAACTGAATCTGAAAAATACTGGCACCTGTAATTTTAAAACCTAATTTATCATGTACCTGAGGTAAAAGTTTCAGGAAGAAAACAGGTAAATGTGACATTGATAAGGCTCACAGAGTCTGTACTGAGTGCCCTTCTGTCCCTCCTGTCTAAGGGAAGCAAATGTATTCCCAGATTCTGGGGTATTTGAAATAGCCTTTGTCATCTTGTGACTGATAGAAAGATCATACAAACATTTAGAGGCCAATTGTCTTGCTGGTGCCAAGAATTTTGGTGTCAATTTAACAGAGAGGAAGTCTGTATAATTGAATTTTGTTGTTATTGGAAGAGGTAGCTGGGATATACCACTGTAATAAGAGGGACCATCCAGTACATCTACCAGTGCCCTACCAAGAGTTGCTTTTAAATCAGTGTAGAGGAGTAAGAGGGAAAAAAAAAAGAGCTTCAACATATTCAAGCAAGATCTGTAAAAAGCTTTTTCTAATAGTTGGACAAATGTTAGTTAATGTACGAATGCTTCATTGTGTAGCAAAAATGCAGTAAAGACAATTTTGTAAGCAATGTTCCTATTTGTTACTTGGTGTCAGAGTATTGCATACATCTGAGATTGCAGTTGTTGTGTCCAAACACTGGATTTTTTTCCTACCCCCTATTAATGTTAGAACAGATTTCCACTGCATTGAGTTAGACTTTGTGTGCCTAAGGGATATTTTTGTGCCTCAGGTCTAGTTGTTATATTGCTTTATCATTGCCACATCTGATTAGATTAGGCAATTCTTCCAACAACTAAAGTTTTGTCTTAATAAGCAGTTTATGACCGAGCAAACATCTGGGCTTAAACAGGTTTTGCTATGACAGTTCAGATGTAATGGTGTGAGCCATAGTGAGAAAACTTTTGTTCCTACAGGGAGGTAATCCAGAGCCAGGAGGACCCAAATCCCAGCATCCCAGCATCTGGTAGACATTACACTGTACCTCAACTCAGCATCTGTGTGTTGAAAAGTATGAGTTGCAGGAGCAAAAAAACCCATCACTTGCTCAGTTTTGTACGGCTTTCACAACTTGATACAAGTAGCCTGGATACTATATTTGTATAGCATATTTGTATAGTATATCATAGTATACTATACCATACGAGTAGCCAGAGCTCCCAGTCATCCAAAAGGCTTGTCCAACCAACATCAGTGCCAAGACTGGTCTTTCATTTTCTTAGTATGATGATGATGATGATGATGATGATGTATGCCCTCTTCTTCTTCAATGGGGCTCCCAGACGTGCCAGCTCCCAGATCTGTGCCAACAAATACGCACAGGGTGGAGGGCAGTGCATGCTTCTGCACTCCTGGCAGACCTGTAGGATTTTAAGCTTTCAGTAAGTGTTGGCAAAAACTTTGTGGTTGATTCAGGGTTTGGATTTTCTGGTTTCCTGAAGTAAAATCTGTAGCCAGATGTATGGGATCAAAAGATAATCCGTATTCGATTTTCTGAACCAGTTTATGCTTTATGTATTAGGTATGCTGCAAGGAACTGTGTTACAGAGAAAGGGAAGAAACACAATGATTTAAACAGAAGTATGTCCAGTTACTGCCAAGTGAATAGACCAGGCAAAATTACAGAATAAAGTGCATGCTTTTTTCCATGAAAAAATTAGATTTTATAAAATCAGATGAGGACAGGTATATTTTATTATACAATGAGAAGCTGCCAACTTCTATGTTATAGAGGTTTTCATTCCACTATTTTTTTTTCCTCTGAGAAATGGAAAACTTAATTTAGTAA